CTGAGTTCTTTAGATTTCTACGAAGAAGGTGGAAATTTGATTGTTTGTTTTGTCTGTTTGAGTGAGTCATTAATATCTTGGGACTCCAACTGCAAACTCCGTTTCTCTGGTTCTACTTGTTTCCCAAAGGACTTTTTTCATGCTTAGCTGGAACCTGTGCCATCTCTGCACGGCTCAGAGATCAACCAGGGGCTCTGAAGTTCATACCCGTAACTGCAGACACACCCTCCCCAGCTCTCTCCTTCAGGATGCCCCCTCACCTTCCAGTGGGTGCGGTTCCCCCAAACTCAGTCCTCTGATTCCGCAGGCCCGAAAGAGTCAAGGGTATTTACTGGGGCGTAGCTTCCTCACGGGGCTTGACCTGCCATCAGGCCAAAAACCCTGACGGTGGGTAACCCACCCTGTGCCATTCTCGTCTTCCAAGGGTCCATTCTGAGTCCGTTTGCTTTTTTTCATTCTCCTGTGTCTTGAGGTATTACCTATCGCTCATTTATGTTTGTTTTGGGGGCCAGGGTTTACAGGGGAAGAACTGAATCCAATAAGAACTTACTTGGCCAGACCGGAATTGAAGTTGTCAGCAATATCAGATTTCAGGGCGCCGGGGTGGCTCAGGAGTGGAGCGTCTGCCTTCGGCTCAGGTCAGGATCCCCGGGTCCCGGAATCGAGCCCCGCGTCGGGCTCCCTGCTCCGCGGGGGACCTGCTTCTCCCTCTCCCACTCCCCCCTGCTCATGCTCACTCTCTCTCTCTCAAATAAATAAAATCTTAAAAAAAAAACCTGGATTTTAACATAGACTGTTATGTGTTATTTACGAGAACACAAAAAAGCAATGATACAGAGAAAAATTGAAACGAAAGGATGCAGACTACAAGTGGCCTTGACAACACCAGAGAAAGGGGAATTGAAGGCAAAAGGCACTAACTAGGAAAAAGAGATGTGACGTGATGCTAAAAGACAAAAATCCATGAAGAAAATAGAGACCTTTACACATCATACAATTTGGCAGATACGAAAATCAAAACATCTAGAAATAGAAAGACTCATTAAAAACATACCTTTCCATAAACACATCGTGCGAAGTATATGCCAGATGCTACACTAAAGACACACACAAATATAATCAACAAAGTCAACTTAATAGATATGCATGGAATATACATATATACTAATAGATGGTAATAGAATACATGTCATTCTCTCACACTTGTTAAATAATGTCTTTTTTTTTAAGATTTTATTTATTTATTTGACAGAGACACAGCGAGAGAGGGGACACAAGCAGGGGGAGTGGGAGAGGGAGAAGCAGGCTTCCCGCGGAGCAGGGAGCCCAATGCGGGGCTCGATCCCAGGACCCCGGGATCATGACCTGAGCCGAAGGCAGACGCTCAACGACTGAGCCACCCAGGCGCCCCTGTTAAATAATTTCTAAACCCTCATGTTCTTGGCCACAGAGGAAACTTTTATCAGTTATGAAGGGGTGATTTTTACAGACTATATCCTATATCCCAAATATAAAATTAAAAATCTATAAGAGAAGACCATTAAAAACTTAAGAAATTAATAGTAAAACTTTTCCAAATAACTCTGGATCCAAGATAAAACTGAAATTACAAACTATCTAGAAATAAACAAAAATGAAAATATCTCAGAACAAAAATCTTACATGTAGATAAACCTACATTTAGAGAAAAATTCATACCTTATGATTAAAAAATAAAAGTTAAAAATTACTGAAATTTCCACTTCTGTTTCCTAGACTTCATGTATTTTGAGATTATCTTGTTAGAAGCGTATACCTTTACAATTGTAATATTCTTCTAATGTAATGAAATCCTACACAAAAATTAACTCAAGTTGGATCAGAGCTTAAATGTAAAAGCAAAACCTATAAAACTTCTAGTTGAAACATAGGAGAAAATCTTCAGACCCTAAGACAGGCAGTGAGTTCTTAGATACAAAACCAAAGGCAATATCAAGAAGGGAAAAAAAATGAGAAAATGTACTTCATTGAGACCAACACTTTTGCACTTTGAAAGACACTCTAAAGAAATGAAAATGCAAGCCACAAACTGCAGGAAAATATTTGCAAATTATATATCTGGTAAAGGATGTGCATCCAGAATGTATACAGAAGCTCTTACAATTCAGTAATAATACAAGCCAATGTTTTAAAGGGTAGAAGATTTGAATGGACATTTCATCAGAGAAGGCATATGAATAAGCCCACAGATAGGTGCCCAATACGGTGAGCTATTAAGAAATGCAAATCAAGGGGCGCCTGGGTGGCTGAGTGGTTAAGCATCTGCCTTCGGCTCAGGTCATGATCCCCGGGTCCTGGGGTCCCGGGATTGAGCCCCACATCGGGCTCCCTGCTCAGCGGGGAGCCTGCTTCTCCCTCTCCCACTCCCCCTGCTTGTGTTCCTTCTCTCACTGTGTCTCTCTCTGTCAAATAAATAAATAAAATCTTTAAAAAAAGAAAGAGAGAAAAAAAGAAAGAAAGTAATAGAAATGAAAACTACACAGAGAAAACCCTGCCCGCCCACCGGAATGACTGTACTCAAAAAGATAGTAAGTACCAAGTACTGGGGAAAATGTTGAAAAACTGGAATCCTCATACATTGCTGGGAATGTAAAAAATACAGCCACTTTAAAAAATCAGTTTTGCAGTTCCTTTAAAAATTAAACATGCATGTGGGGCGCACGGATGGCTCAGTCGGTTGAGCATCCAACTCTTGGTTTTCAGCTCAGGTCATAATCTCAGGGTCCTGGGATCGAGCCCCGGCTCATGCTCAGCACAGAGTCTGCTTGTCCCTCTCCCTTCCCCTCTGCTCCTCCTCCTGCTTGTGGGCACTCTCTCTCTCTCTCAAATAAATAAGTAAAATCTTTTTTTTTTAAGTTAAACATGAATGTACTCATTGGCTCAGCAAATCCACCCTCTCCATGAGAAATGAATGAACACTGTGCCCCCCAAAACACCAGGGAGACACTGGAGGGCACAGAGAGCAGGTGGATTGTGGAGGCCAGCTGGAGCCTGGAAGAAGGGGTTGACAGAGGATGTGATGCTGGTTTGGGGGGCCTTCTGCTGGAGGCCAAGCTAAATTTGGCACTTCATCAGGTGGCTAGAAGTCAGACAAAAAAAATCTGCAGGCTGAAAAATCAAAGGACCGGGCTCAGGAAAACCCTGGTCCCTGAAAAATGAGAAGGGAGCACCCGAGAAAAAGGAGTCAGAGAGGGGAGGCCCAAATTCTGTGTCTGCACTGGCCAGACCTCTGGCTGACTCCCTGAAACAGGCACACGTAGTGAAGACTGCAGATGACCTGCCCAGAATAAGACCTTAATGTGACCCTGCGCTGTAGTTAATAATAACATCAATATTTGCTCAAGTGTAACAAATGTGCCACGTGACCGCAAGACGCTAATAAAACGGAACATTGTGGGGGCTGGGGGCGGGACACGTGAGCATTCCCTGTACTTTCTGGTCAATTGTTTTATCAAATTAAAGTTGCTCCAAAAAATAATTAAAGTTTTTTTTAGTGTTTAAAAAACTGCGAGGTTAGGGGCGCCTGGGTGGCTCAGTCAGTGAAGCATCTGCCTTCGGCTCAGGTCATGATCTCGGGGTTGCGGGATGGAGCCCTGGGTTGGGCTCCCTGCTCAGCGAGGAGTCTGCTTCTCCTTCTCCCCCTGCTCCTTCTCTCTCCCTCTACTCTCTCTCTCTCTCTCTCTCTCAAAATAAATAAATAAATAAAAATCTTTAAAAACTACAGAGTTGATCTTTGGAAACTTGAAGGTATAGGTGAAGAAGAAGTGCCAAAACTCCTGGGGCAGATGGGCGAGGAAGGGCTCGAGAAGCTCTAAGAACAGGGCACACTCGGGTAGATTTACCACAAAGCCAAAACCCCCAGCAGCCGACCGCATCCCCCAGGAGGGCCCAGAGGACATTGCCTTTATTTTTTTTAATTTTTTTATTATGTTAATCACCATACATTACATCATTGGTTTTTGATGTAGTATTCCATGATTCATTGCTTGTGCATAACACCCAGTGCTCCACGCAGAACGTGCCCTCTTTAATACCCATCACCAGGCTAACCCATCCCCCCACCCCCTCCCCTCTAGAACCCTCAGTTTGTTTTTCAGAGTCCATCGTCTCTCATGGTTCGTCTCCCCCTCCGACTTACTCCCCTGGACATTGCCTTTATTAAATCAAAGTAAGTGTACCAGTGGGAGGGACAACCACCTTCTTAAAAAAAAAAAATCAGCAGGGGCTCTCCCCCAAAGGCTCAAGCTGACAGTGGACAAACTGGGCTTTTGGCACAATGGGGTAATAAAAATCCCAAAACAATAGAGGCCCAGTGGCAGCACCTAACCCTCAGGGTCCATCCAATTAGCGTAGTGCGCAGAGTGGCGTCCGTGGAGGCCTGGCCTGCACAGAGCTACGGAGAGATCATCAGGACCGACATTCCCAAGGTCAAGAGAGACGGGCAGCCAACGAGAGCACCGTCCAGGCTATACACCACAAGAAGTCAAGGATGGATAAGCAAGAGAGTGAGGGCAGCCACTCCACGACAAGCCAATCCCTCATCCAGGCACCTGTGTCGCTTCTCAGACCCAGAACCCCGGAGAGAGGAGAAGCAGACGACAGGTAAGGAAGGACCCTGCGGCACCACCGCAGGAGTATAACGTAATGATTCCCCAAGTCCTTCCCCAAAGGGACTGTGGTTCTTTACTCACGTAAGCACACAATGGGGAAGGAGACATACACACACATCTCAAGGATGTTGGACACAGCGTCTGAGGGAGCAGAGAAATGGGCACAAACTTGGGGAGAAAATGGGGCCAATTGATGTTTTCATGGGAGAAAGAAAAGCATGTTTGTGTGCTTATCTGCCAGTAAGGAGATAAGAAATGATGGTATCGGAGAGGGAGTGGAAACTGAGGCAGCAGTGCCCTGGAGTAAGGGGCAGGGATGGGTCCTAGGCACAAGCAGGAGAATCTGTCTACACTGGAAGCCTAGACAGCTCCTCTGTGGCGTGGCACACGGACACGCACGGGCCGGGGCAGGTGTGGCAGGAGGATATCGATGTTCTATCCAACACTCGCAGGAAGGAGGAGGCAAGGCCGTTGGATGAGGGTGAGGATGGAGGAAGGGTGGCGGGAGTCTGAGAAGGGGCACACTCCTGGAATCGATGTCTAGGGGAATGGAGCAAATGGGCCAGAAAAACACAGTGCAATGCAATTGCACTGGTTGTAGATTTTGTTTATCAAAGTATAGCTGACATGCAATATCGTATTTGTTTCAGGTGTATGACAAGGTCAGGAACTGAAGTAAGACTGTAAGCGTGGTTGTGTATTTCCCTCCAGCTCCATTCTGCTGACTGGGTGCCGGCCAAGAGCTGGTGGTGAACCGGATTAGCTGGGTGTCATTTTGTCAAGTGAGCGTCGTGGTAAAGTGGAAGAGAAGGGAGCTGAGAACGTGCAAACCAATGACTCTAATGTTTGACCCGGAAAGGTTACCAGTGAGGGGAGAAGAGAGGCTCAGGGAGGCGGGAGGAAGGACAGCGGAAAGGGGTTAAGTTCACTGAGCTGTGCGTAGGTTCCCAAAGAGTCCAAGGATTGGCAAAGTCCTTGACAAGACAGAGGTAAGCCAAAATGCCAAGAGGTGGTGGGCAGAGATTGGGGGGCACAATGAGATTTGGAGGAGTTGCAGTTATTGGTAATGACACAGTCCAGGGCAGGGCTAGAAAGTTCCAGGGGAACTCGTGATGATAGAAATGTCTGTATCTGCACTAGCCAAGATGGCAGGCACTGGCCACAGCCACTTGAAACATGGCTGATGCAGCTGAGGAATGAGACTTTACTTATTCTTAATTCTTTTTTTTTTAATTTTATTATGTTATGTTAGTCACCATACAATACATCATTCGTTTTTGATGTGGTGATCCACAATCCATTGTTTTCGTATAACACCCAGTGCTCCATGCAGTAGTACCCTCCTTAATACCCATCACCGGGCTAACCAGTGCCCCCTCCCCCGTCCCCTCTAAAACCCTGTTTGTCTCTCAGAGTCCATAGCCTGTCATGGTTCATCTCTCCCACCAATTCCGCCCCCCCTCATTTTTCCCTTCCTTCTCCTAATGTCCTCCATGCTATTCCTTATGTTCCACAAATAAGTGAAACCATATAATTGGCTTTCTCTGCTTGACTTATTTCACTTGGCATAATCTCCTCCAGTCCCATCCATGTTGATGTAAAAGTTCGGTATTCATCCTTTCTGATGGCTGAGTAATATTCCATTGTGTATATGGACCACATCTTCTTTATCCATTCATCTGTTGAAGGGCATCTCAGCTCCTTCCACAGTTTGGCTGTTGCGGACATTGATTAGGGTGCGGGTGCCCCTTCTTTTCACTACATCTGTGTCTTTGGGGTAAATACCCAGGAGTGCAATTGCTGGGTCATAGGGTAGCTCTATTTTTAATTTTCTGAGGCACCTCCACACTGTTTTCCAAAGTGGCTGTACCAACTTGCATTCCCACCAACAGTGTAAGAGGGTTCCCCTTTCTCCACAGCCTCTCCAATGTTTGTTGTTTCTTTCCCTGTCCATTTTTGCCATTCTAACTGGTGTAAGGTGGTATCTCAATGTGGTTTTGATTTGAATTTCCCTGATGGCTAATGATGATGAACATTTTTTCATGTGTCTGTTAGCCATTTGTATGTCTTCTTTGGAGAAGCGTCTTTTCATATCTTCTGCCCATTTTTTGACTTGATTATTTGTTTTTTGGGTGTTGAGTTTGAGAAGTTCTTTATAGATCTTGGACACCAGCCCTTTATCTGTAGTGTCATTTGCAAATATCTTCTCCCATTCCGTGGGTTGCCTCTTTGTTTTGTTGACTGTTTCCTTTGCTGTGCAGAAGCTTTTTATCTTGATGAATTCCCAAAATTTCATTTTTCCTTTTGTTTCACTAGCTTTTGGAGATGTATCTTGAAAGAAGTTGCTGTGGGCCATGTCAAAGAGGTTACTGCCTATGTTCTCCTCTAGGATTTTGATGGATTCCTGTCTCACACTGAGGTCTTTCATCCACTTTGCAATGGAAAAAAGACAGTCTCTACAATAAATGGTGCTGGGAAAATTGGACAGGCACATGCAGAAGAATGAAACTCGACCATTCTCTAATACCATTCACAAAGATAAATTTACTCTTAATTCTAACTAATTTAAATGTAAATAGCTACATGTGACTAGTAGCTACCATACTGGACAGCACAGGTGTATTATATGAATGGAGGCCTCTGGGATTTGTCCTGCGTACCCGACCACCCTGACCTGCACATACGCAGGCAGGTTAAGGAATGTTGTGTGTGAGACTCATGCCGCATAGGTGACCTCAGGAGCTGGTTAGTGGACATTAGCTGGCCTCCAGGTCAGAACTGGCCCTTTTGGTCTGGACACCAAGAGCTATGAAATTTGCTTTGCATCCCCTCCTGCTCCAGGCTGGGCTGGCCCCCCGGAACCCAGACCAGGCTCCTTGAAGATATAAAGACATGATAACCTAGGAATGCAGTTCGCACCAAACTGCAAGTAGGTGAATAATTGTGTAACTTCAGACCCCATCATTTGCTCTATAAATATGGCCCTATGGGGATGGTCAGTTGGAAGTCTCGGCTGAGCGGAGGACACTCCGCCCAGGCCTCTCCATCGGGACGCCAGCCTGGCTGTCTCCACGGGGTTTCCCCAGGTAGTGAGGTTGGATGTTGTAAGTACCCGATTTGATGGAAATCTGTCTTATTCTCCTTTACTGCTTACTATTGCCCTCATCTATACACAGATTTCCCTTTTCTTCTGTTTCGATTAGATTTTTATAATACCGATAAATTGTTTCGCCCCTTCAAAACAGAGAGTATGGCTGCCGTGAATCTTTTCTTCAGAACAACAGGTGTACGGCATTATGAGACACGAAAGTAAGGAGTCTGGATGGAGTACAAGACATCGTTGTGGGAAGAGAGGTATTCAAGATCCTCCCTGTGAGACGAATCAGCTCCATGAATTCAAATCACAAAGAATCAAGGCTGGAGTGGGAATGCAGACAATGACAGTGAGCCAGGAGCTGAAATCCCTAAGAATGAGGGGAAGTGACCCATGAGCCATCAGCAGAGGATTTTGCAGCAGGAGGGAGAGAGGCACACGGTCTGATGACGCGAGATTCAGAGCTGAGGAGTTTAGGGAGGTCTGGAAGGGGCAAGGAGGAGCGGAAGGGACACCTCTGCTCCAGGGCGTTCCAGAAGGTGCAGTGGAATGACTTAAGCAATTGAGGAGGAATAGGAAAGGCAGGGGATGTTCAGACAGCTCCGGGCGCCGGGCGTGAGGAGGACAGGAATGACCTGGGATTCCAGACGGAGATGAGTCCATCGTGCTGCGGGTGGAGTTACGGGTGTTGATGGTGGACAGACATAGATGATCCTGGTTCCCTCTCCACCCTGCAGATGGATGCCAGGATTCATGGAGAAGGCGGCATCCAAGACTGTCTCTTGGGAGGGATTACAGAGACCGGGAGAGGGATGCTCCTTTTTCAGGGACAGGAATACCCTATTTCACGCATCTGGGTTTACTCTCGACCCTTGTCAACGGGCATGAAAGAGTCAAGAGGCCATGAAAGATGTTTCTTAAGTGGGAAAACACTAAAATAAAGATGACGTTCTCCCTACATTAACCTATAAGTGCAGGGCAATCGCAATGAAAACTCCAGGTGAATGTTTTGAGGAATTCAATAAGCTCATTTTAAGATTTATGTATTAAGATTAATAAAGGTCTCTAAATGCTAAGTCAACCTTTAAAAAGCCAAGGGAAGTAGTGGGCTTGTCCAAGTAGACATTTAGACACCCCTCAAAGTTACAGAAATAAAAAACAGTGCGCTACTGGCACAAAAGCAGAAAATATGTCAAGGGGACAGAATAGAGAATGCAGAGCAAAATCTATGTCCATATGGGAGTGTAATATATAGTAGAGACGGTAGCAAAAACCAGCAGGAGGGAGCACGTTGCTTAGCAGATCTATTGGGGAAATTGTAAGTATATCAAGCAAAATGAAATTGAATCTCTATCTAATACATAAATAATAGTGAGCCCCAAGTGGATCTCATACTACACAAGAAAGGTAAAACGATGACGTTGGTAAAAAGAGATATAAGAGAATATCTTTATCATTTATAGATAGGGTAGGACTTCTTAAACAGAACTTCAAGTGCACGGAAAAACTAGTAAGTTTCATTACATTTAGATGAAGGACTTTAAAAAAGATCACCGCAGACGAAGATAGTAGATGACAGGATGAGACAAGATTTTGCAATGATAAAACCAAGGTATCAAAAATGTAGAACAGGAAATGTCTGCAAGCCAACAAGAAAGTCTCAGCAACCCTAACAGAAAAATGGGCAATTTTTCAGAAAAGCAATTTACAAGAAGGAGCCTGGGAAAGGTGAGCTGCATCTGAAGAATTGCTCAAAATTGTTAGTCAGAGAAATGCAAAATAATACCTCTGAAAATCACTTTACATCTACTAACCCGGCACAAATTCAAAAGCTGGCTGCTCTAGCTTCCATCTTCCGGAGAGATTGGGATCCTGGACCTCCTGGAATTATGCCCAGAGCCCAATGACACACTCAGCGCTTGATAACTAGCTGTGAATCAATGAATGATCATCCTCGGTTGGAGTGGCTGAGAAATGTGGGAGAGCATGAGGGGGACCTGGGGAAAGCCTGGAAGGCAGGTCCATTTTAAATATGGAGAAAGGCAGAGAAGACTTTCCAAATGACCAGTAAGTGTGGCACAGGGCAGTGCACTGTAAGCGTGTATGGATGTGGGTATGTGGGTGGGTGGGTGTGTGCACTCATGATGGGTGGGTGTTACTTGAAAATCCAGGCTCAGGTAGAAAGTTTGTGTTGGTCCGTAGTGGGAGATGAATCAGAGGACACAGGCTGGGGCAACACTGAGAGCTTGAACTTGACCTCTGAGTGCTGCGTCAGTAACGTTTCAGAACAATAAAGAGCAGGGTTTTGTCAGAGAGTGTAAAGGGGCAGGAGGAACACAATGCCATCCAGGTAGCCTGCCCCTCACACTGTGGACTAGCTCAGGGGAGCAGGTGCACCCCCTCTTCTATTCACAGCTCCTTCTCTTACCACCTCCAGATCCAAACAGCCATCTGGCCCCCTGGGGTCCAAGGTGGACACACTGTGGGTGCAGTCTACCTGCAAGAGGATGGACCCAGGAAGAGCTCACACCAGCCCTAGACGTGGCCTGGGGCATTTGGGGCAAGGCGTGCTCAATGGTGACACCCCAAGCTTCCCAAACTCAGGAAGCTGAACTTGAATTGCTCACCAGCTACCCTGCCTAGAATGTGTTAGACATTGGAGAGATTCTCTGCTAAGACACCACATCTTCTGGAAACCCTTAGAATAAACAGATGGGTGGGAACATGGGCACTAAGGCAGAAAACAATCATGACTCTGAATCTAGTTCCAAATCAACCCACACTCTAAGCAAACAGGGTGGAGAAGGGGATAGGATGCAGGAAGCTACAACGAACTGCCACTGTTAAGGTGCCAACCAAACCAATGAGAACAGATGCCATTCCACAGGCAAAAACTAACCCTTTAGACCCTGGATTGCTGTACTCTGGGAAGACCTAAAAGTCACATCCTGGCAATAGGCAGTTTTGATCATTCACATGACAGTAAGCCCACAAGTTGTTTCTTATTAGGACGACTCAGGATGATGACGCTGAGCCATGGGTTGTCCATTACTCAAGAGAATGTTCTTGAACGTTGTTCTACAAGAGAATGTGCCACAATCTGACCAAGAACCCAGATGATAGAGAGTGAGAAGGCATAGTGCAATGTGCCTCTTCAAGACCCACTCCCCAGCTTTCTCCACCCTGTTTTTCTGCCCTAGGAAGCTTGTTTTCATGGGGGCTGTGTTGATGACACTCATAGCCCTGGTGATCAACAAGCCCCCTTGCTCTCTGGCACAGCAGATGGGAAAGAAGAGCAGCACACTCTTGGCATTTGTTCCCCTGACTGCCTCCTGCAGGGCGGCTTGGGTCACTGCTCCCATTAGAGCAGAATTAATAATTCTCTGGATCCCTGGAGTCACTACCTCCTTCTCATTCCCTTGATCCTAGGATAACAACTGTTAGGCCTCCTGCCTGCCCTTACTACTGCACCCACCCTGATGGTGTCCCTATACCCTGCACACCTTTGTACCTGCACCGAGTGCTTTTTTTAAGCCCTTCTTGGGTTTCCCGAGTTTGAGTGTGTAATATACTTCCTATTGGGACCCTGACTGATTCTGCTGGCCCATCATTATGATAAAATCTAGCAATTTATAAATCTATGCCTGGGCCCTTCTATGGGCTTCTTTTATGACTTGTTTTTAAGAAACATCTATATCTGTCTGGGGCACCAGCATGAGGAATGGTGCAAGAAACACAAAAATTATATACAATTACAAGTGACAGTCAAAGGAGTCTGGGGGCCAGGGAATCCAGGGATCCTGCTCTCTCCATTCCTTCCTCACCAACTCTCTCCTATCTGTCCATATAGTCTGTTAAGTTTCTGACTCTTGGTTTTGGCCCAGGTCATGATCTTAGGGTCTTGAGATCAAGCCCTGCATGAGGTAAGTCTGCTTGGGATTCTCTCTCCCTCTCCCTCTGCCCCTCCCTCTCGTCCTCTCTCTCTCTCTATCTCAAATAAATAAATAAATAAATCTTTAAAAAGAAAGAAGGAAAGGAAGAAAGAGAAAGAAAGAAAGAAAGAAAGAGAAAGAAGAAAAAAGAAAGAAAGAAAGAAAGAAAGAAAGAAAGAAAGAAAGAAAGAAAGAAAGAAAGAAAGAAAGAACCTATATCCCCCAAACATTTTCATTGTATCTGCTGTGTAGGAGGTTTTTCTCCGTTCTTAAAGAGTTTTAAAGCTTTTCTTTATTAAACATTTACTGTATTTCGAGTACTGCACCAAAAACTCCAAATGCATTTTCTTATTTAACTCACACACCCTGAATAAATAGAGTACATCATCATCCTCATTTTATAGATGAATATGGATCTTGCCAAGGTTACCCAGTGGACAAAGGTTGTGTTTACCTATGAGAAGTTATCAAGAATCTCTGATCAAGATCTTTATTGATTTTGCATTACCATTTGGGGGAGAAATTTGGTGATAAGTTTCTTCTCAAAATGGCTCAAGGAGCTTGTAGTACTACCTCAAATTTCAGCCTCAACAATGTCAACCCTGCACCTGCTACTTGCAGCTCTCAGCTTCTCAGAGTATTGAAAAGGAGTCCACATTTATTTTATTTTTTTAGCATAGTTGACACAATGTTACATTAGTTCCAGGTGTACAAGTTAGTGACTTGACAGGTTTATACATTATGCCTTATTCACCAAAAGTATAGCTATCATCTGTCTCATTACATCACTACTACAAAATCATCGACTACATTCCTTATGCTCCACTTTTTATTCCCGTGATTTCCTCATTCAGTATCTGGAGTCCTGTATCTCCCTCTCCCCTTCACCCATTTTGCCCAACTCTCTACCACTCTCCCCTTTGGCAACCATCAGTTTGTTCTCCATATTTAGAGTTCTGATTCCACTTTTGTTTGTTTTTTCATTTTTTTATATTCCATTTATGAGTGGAATCATATGGTAGTTGTCTGACTTATTTGACTTAGCATAAAACCCTCTAGGTTCAGCCATGTTGCCTCAAATGGTACAATCTTATCCTTTCTATGGCTGCATAATATTCCATTGTGTATATACACCACATTTTCCTTATCCATTCATCTATTGACAGACACTTAGTCTGTTTCCATGTCTTCATTGTTGTAAGTAATGGTGCAATAAACATAGGGGTGCATATATCTTTTAGTGTTACCATCTGCACTGGGTAAATACACAATAGTGGAATTATTGGACCAAATGGTATTTCTATTTTTGGTTTTTTGAGGAACCCCCATACTGTTTTCCACAGTGGCTACACCTGTTTACATCCCTACCAACAGTGCACGAGAGTTCCTTTTTCTCCACATCCTCACCAACACTTGTTTCTTTTCTTCTTGATTTTAGCCAACAGGTATGAGGCAGTATCTCATTGTGGTTTTGATTTCCATTTCCCTAATGATGGGTAATGTTGAGTATCTTTCCATGTGCCTATTGGGCATTGGAAGTCCTCTTTGGAAAAAAGTCTATTCAGATCCTCTGCCCATTTTTTAATAAGATTGTTTGGTTTTTTGTTGTTTTTTTTTAATAAGATTGTTTGGTGTAGAGTTGTATAAGTTCTTTATATACTTAGGATATTAACCCCTTAAAAGGAGTCCACATTTACCTTAAAGTTTTGAGATTATTGATGTAGTGGACTAAGTAGTGTCTCCCCAAAAGTCATGTCCACCTGAAACTTCGGAGTCTCCCCAAAATTCAGGTCCACCTGCAACCTCAGTGTCTCCCCACAATTTATGTCCACCTGGAACCTCACAAAGTTAGTTTATTCAGAAATAGAGTCATTACAGATACAATTAAGTTGAAGCTGACCAGATGAGATCATCCTAGATCTGGTGGTGTCCTTCTAAGAGAGGAAAAGACACACAGAAGCATAGAAGGGACCGCCACATGAAAATGGAGACAAAGATTGAACAGATGCAGACACAAGCCAACAAATGCCTGGAGCCACCAGAGGCTGGGCAAAATAAGGAAGGATCCTCCCTAGAGCCTCTGGAGGGAGCACAGCCCTGCTGACACCTTGGTTTTGGACTTCTGGCCTCCAGAACTGGGAGAGAATCCATTTTTGCTGTTTTAAGTCACCACGTTTGTGGTAATTTGTTACCTAGGAAACTAATGTGAATCTTATTTGAACCATCATGGAAACACCTCATAACCTGAGGCAAAAAATTAATCTGAAAGAATTATACAAAATAATAAAAAATCAGGAACCCTTTGGAGATTACGGTTTATTAACCCATCACTCCAGGTCTGGCCAGAGGGAGTGTGGTCAAATCACTAATAGGCCCGATGTCTCCTGACTTGTCTTAATTGGCATCCTTGGGTTTACCCCAGAGCTTACAGGGGTAAAGGAAGGCATTTGGGGATGCTACTCCCTCTGTACGTATCCTTTGGGATTTTCACCCAAGCAGCTGTCTCAGCGGAAAGCTAAAAAGCTGGATCAAGCACAGCTTGCCCTATTAATTGGGACCAAAGGCCCACATCACACAATATTCAATAAATGAGGCTGTGCATCGTGTCATTTCCGTAGGAGACACCTACAGAGGTTTGCCCCTACAGGGAGCTAAGAACCACAGACCCAGAAGCATTCTTGGAAGTAGTAGGGTGGCGGTATTTTGGTTAGTCTTCCTGAAATTTTCCCAGGGCCATAAAGTAAGAGAAGCCCCCATTGTTCTACAGAGACCCAACTGCTTCTCCAATCACAAGACATTCTACACCCACCACTAAAACACCAAGTCAACCTCAGGGACCCTCTTGCTGGTTAAAGATTGCTGATCTCAGAAGTCACAAAAGAGACTAATAATTCAACTCCATAGCCTTTTCCAATTTCTGCATGAGAGAAAAACACAACATCATACCCAAAGTCAGAAGACAAATGGCAATCTATCCTCGATAAGTATGACATATATAGACAGAGCTTATTTCTTCACTATACAAAGAGCTCTTAGTAATCAGTAAGGAGCCACCAATTGGGAGAGAAAACAGGATTGGAATAAGTAGTTCACATGAAAGCATAGGAAAATTGTCTCAAACTGGCTCATAGTCACAGAAACTAAGACAAAAATAATAAAATAAGTTACTTTCAATGTTGGCAAAAATTTAAAGTTTAAGTATGAGAAACAGAAACATTCTTACACACAGTGGGCTGGCTCATAAGTACAATAACTGCAGAAGGAATTTGGCAACATTTATTTAAAATATACAAATTAACACAGTTTAAATTCTTAAAACACTGTTTAAGAATGTAGCCTATGGATATTTGCATAAATATAGAGTAGTGGGTATATAGAAATGCTCACAGTAGCATTATTTGTAATAGCGAGTAAGTAGAAACTACCCCCAAAGTCTAGAATATAAGCCTGGGTAAGTCAGTATAGTAACATTGACTTTGGCTTTTCAAAACAATAAGAAAAATCTACATGTGCTGTTATGGAAACATTGCCCGGATATTTCACGTAGAAAGGGAAAAAAGAACAAAATGTATTATCCCATATTATACTATATTTCCTACCCTTTACACTACACTATAGCTTCTTATCATTCCACAACTTGCTTTTTCACTTATAGGAAACATATATTTGAATTCTAGAAGAATATACAAAAACTACATTAATAATTTTTATTAATTATTAATACATTACTAATTAGCCTTTATTAAATAGTTACTTCCGAAGACTGGGAAAAGGATCAGCAAGTAAAAGGGAATTTTTACTTTCCCTTCTGTTTGATTTTTTTCTTTTTACCATGAGGATGAATTATGTTTATGATTTCGAAAGATGATGCTGCTGTTAAAGGCGATTGGGGTTGGGGAGACCTCACCCTGTAGGTCAGGGGTACTTGGTGCAAACTTACAGCTATTCCTGTGAGTCCCTCCCTGTTTATTGATATCCTGACATCTTTTATGCCCATACTTTGAGGCTTTTACCCTTTCAAGGAAGTTCTTGACCTTCTTTGGGTTGTCATTACACATGTGCACAGTTAATTGGGTCTTTTGGAGTGCGTTAGGATTTGCCTCTGCCCTATAACTTCTACTGCTGCATTGCTGACAGAGACAGAGACAGAAACAGCAAGAAGGAAAGAGAGAGAGACAGAGAGGGGGCTGCAAGCATGTCTCCAGCCCTGGCCAGCTTTGTGGAGGTGTCAAGGGTCCTATCACTAGGAGCCTAACAACCCTTAACAGAGGTGGTTACTTTTCTGAGTTTGTTCCCCGGGGAGACTCCACCAATCTCCTTGGCTCAGGGGGGTCAGGGAGGCAATATCCTTGCACCCACAGCCCACAATCCCACGACTCCCTGGCCCACCTTGCACCACCCCATAGGGAGCTCACGTATTTCGGAGCACAGCAAGGAGGTGTGGGGGAGCACTTGCCCTTGGGCAGTCAGAGGCCCCCCAACCCCATTAGGAAGCACTTATGTCTATTCTGAGCTGAGGGTCTTGGAGGCACCATGAGCCGTGCTAGGCACTTCCGGTATATTTTCATGTAATACGCACATTGCCCCTGTATGTCAGCTACTGGCATTCTTCACAGCTCTCCTGATGGCACCAAGGCCACTCAAGGTCACACAGCCATAAAGAAGAAGAGTCAGGAGGCCTGCCCCTTCTCCCCACCCCGGCAGAGTCCTAGACTCATGACTTCACACACAGACACTGGCAGATCCCGCCCATCCACTGGAAGATGCAGTCAGACCTTGAACTGCTTTGATTCTTGAGTTGAAGATCCACAGGATACTGTGCTGTCAAAGATCTGTAACCCTAGTTCAAGGCTCCAGGAGTGGAAATGAACCTGGACACCTGTTTATAATTCCCTGCCTTTGGAATTCCTGTAGTCGCTCCCTTTTCCCCAGTTGCTGAAGGGGAACTCATCTCCAGACACTTAATTCCAGTCCTTCTTTGTTGGAAAAAGAACCTTCTTCCCTTTGCCACAGTTGGATGCTGTGTACAGAGCAGAAAGTTTTGTCAATCCCATGGCGAACCCTGTGGTGAGCCGTAAAACCCAGAAGTTGAAGCCCACATCTTGAATAACTTCAAACACAAGCCAAGAATTAGGTTAACCCTTACTGGACCTTCCCACCACCACATTCTGTACTGCAGTCATAGTTTTTAAAGAATGTCTGGTTAGCACATTGTCTGATTAACAGCCATCAGGGAGCCATGAAGCATGTACCAACGTCTAAAACCCTGGTGCAGAACCCTTACTGTCCCCATGCTCAGCACACTATGTAGACTAAATCATTTTTAATATTCACAACATTCAGAGAGTTAGCATTATTTGTATGCCCGTTTTATCACCCGAAAAGGGGTTTAATAATTCACCGAAAACTTCACACCTGGAAAATAAGAAATGCAAAATCAAGCCACAAAACCTAAGATTTTACCATTGTAACCTTCAGTGTGGCTATTGTCGTGGATCAAAAGGACTGGAATTCAGGCACATTTTACTGTCCTAAAATTTTCAAACTAAGCACTCCTCTTTTTCTAGAATTTAAAAGTGACCCTCTTTTCAAGTTCAACAACTTCCCATCCGAAGCATTTTGTTACCTTCAGATCTCTTGAATTCATTACGTGGATCTGCTAGTTGACAACCAACTCTAAATTATGTGACAAAAGCAGGCAACCTTAGAAATAATGCATCACGGAAAAGGTGCTATTTTTAAGCCCCTTCACTTTTTTTAAAGATTTTATTGATTTATTTGAGAGAGCAAGAGAGTACCAGCAGGGGGTTGGGGGGCGCAGAGGGAGAAGCAGGCTCCCTGTTGAGCAGGGAGCTGGACTCTGACTTAAGGCTGGATCCCAGGACCCTGGGATCATGACCTGAGCCGAAGGCAGACGCTTCACCGACTGAGCCACCCAGGCGCCCCTAGCCCCCTTCATTTCTGATAGAGAACTAATGGCAAAACCAACTAAGCCAGCAGCAAAGGAAGGATAATATTCCAACAGTAGGAACCATCGTAAAGTCATTTTAGAAAGGACGGCATTTACAGTCCCTTTTAGACATTCGAGACAGCTTTGATCACTGTGTTTTTGGGGCACAAAACGAGAAAGATCCAAAGGACGTGCCCAGACTACGTGGACGAGGGTCCAATGCGCTGGTGTGGGAACACACGCAAGGAAGTCATGACACCTTTTAGGAGAGGAGTCAAATCACAGGAGGACATTCATCAGGTTTGCCAGCATTTTTTATTCGTTTTTTCATAAAATGATTAACGATGCGGAAGATAAAACTCACCTCTTTCCTTCATGGGTCCTTGGGCTGAAGGTTTGTCAGCCACTGTCACAACCCCAGGCTCTCCTGGGCCCCCTTGAACACAAAAAAGCCTTTGTTATAGGAATTAGCCTCCCGCCCTGAGCTCTGAGAGCCACTTCACTGAGGCAATGCCATCACCATGGTTACCAGGCCCTCCGCTGCGGTTTCCACACCTCACCACAAAAACCTCAGGGGGAAAAAAATAAATAAAACTTAAAGCTGGGCCACATGCTAGTAAATTAGCCTAGATTATTAGTCATTGACGTCAAATATAAAAAACTATTTTGGAAGAGGAAAGAAATATGCAAAGAGGATTTTAGAAAGTCATCTGTAATTGCAAAGCTATTTGGAGTTTCAAATCGACAAATAGGGTTGTCAGGAAAAATAGAATGCTTTCCCGATTACAGATATTTCTCGAAAACAGACTGGTTCCTCAGTGTCTATTCGTGCAGTTTCTGCTGGTTTTATTCTTGAATGGAGAACCGCCGTGACCCTCTGAGTTAGGAGAATAATCCATCTGGGTGTCAGTATTTGAGAGCACCGTAAGCACAGTGTGGTCTTAGCAATAGGAATTTGTGCTTTTATGTAAATGGCTTTACAATATGTCTATTTCATGTCTTGGTGGGAATCCCATGATGAGTCGCTTCAATAAGGAAAAACAAACACTCCTCTTCAAACATGTATTACTGATACAATAAAGTAAAAATAATAGTGACCGACTAAAAACCATCATTTATGTTTTGCAGGCATGAATTCTTTTCCAGAAGTCAGAATTGCTTACAGTGAATCACAGATGTTCCATACTGGATCCTAGAGGAAAGCAAAGGTCCTGGGGGGATAGCCAGCAACCCTGAAGGAGCTGCGGGAGGGATCTCTGGAGGGACGGCCAGAGGCTGGCCCCACGCACCAACCATGGTGAGCGCATGACATGCAGAAGGAAATGACCAGCTCCATGTGGGCCAGAATCTCGACTGTCATTAGGAAGGTAAGGTCAACCCAACCTACATAAATATAGCACGATATGAGGGGCAGTTACTATTCACCCTGAAATTTTGCAAAGTTTACAACAAGGCCTGAGGACAACTGAATTATGCCAAGAGGGAAAACCATGTGTTTTTTTTTTTTTTCTGCACAATTAAGAGTTAAAGGTAAGTGGCTATATGGAGCCATAGAAACAGCCATGCCCACAGTAGTTAAGAGCCCCAGCTTTGAGAAGAAGAAGATAGCAGGAGGGGAAGAATGAAGGGGGGGAAATCAGAGGGGGAGACGAACCATGAGAGACGATGGACTCTGAGAAACAAACTGAGGGTTCTAGAGGGGAGGGGGTGGGGGGATGGGTTAGCCTGGTGATGGGTATTAAGGAGGGCACGTTC